ATTATCAACATTGTTCTCATCCTAAATCCAAAACACAGCACTGTGCCAGCTACTAGGAAGGAAATTAACTCTATCCCTGCCGAAACCAGGATAAGTGTGAACAAGCATAACTGCTCCTACCAAATCCCATTTTCTGCATTGCTGTATAAAATTTCCTCTGCTCTATGGGGAAATGTTTTTCAATGGCATATGAACTGAGACATAATTTGCATAGTTTGTGTAAGCTTCAGGGTATCTGCCTACCATTAGCTTGAATGACTGGAAGCTAGTATGACCTATGAATCTTTTCAAAAACATATTCTCCCACTTATTTCAAACTAGCTCTTAAAACAAAACAAAACAAAAAACAAGTCACCTGGACTTACCAAATTAACTAGAGGTCCTCCAGAGTTGCCATACTGTAAAAATAACATAAGGGAACAATAAATGGGTGCTTCACTGTAGGAAATGTGATTTTCACTTCAAACAGTATTTTGTTTGTAAGTAAATGAAAGAGAGCAGGTCATTTCTTAGGCAGCACTGAAGGACACAATATTGCTCACAGAAGAAAACGGGTAGGCCTTACCCTACCCATTCACACCTCTTATGGTTAGATTTTTTTTTCTTTTCAGAAACAGGCCTTAAGTTAGGAGCAGGAACTTACCCTCCAAATAGTTAGACCCTAAGTTTAAGAAGAATCATTAAATAGTTAAAACGAGTATTTTGATTCTTCTAAAGACTGTCAGAACAAGGTTTTTAAATAATTAATTGCTATTTAAAGTTATATTTCAGTGAGGTGCACGTACGGTTCTTAAGTAGTTTTATTCATCACTTTGGTTTGTAACACTGTTAGTCTCTCTTATTCTCCACCAGAGAAGAACATGTTTAATCACAGCGTATTGCTGTGAGGTAGGTACTACGTAAGGATTGATTTAGTAACCACAGACATGCAGCCCCCTCTAGGGAGGGCATATAGCAGCTCTGAGCAGTCTGAAATTGCCTAATACCTAATGGCCTTCAAAGGAAACATCCAACAGGCCTACAGGAAATGGGAGTTGGAGAAGTTCCTTGTCCATCCTCATGTTGGCTCAGTAAGTTTGTTTTTGAGTGAGGCCAGAGTTTTCAAGTAGGTCTACTGAACAGCCAAGAGCAGCAACTTACCACTCAAAATAAACAAAACCTAAGCGATGCATGACAGCAACATGAGCCATATAAACTGTTTACACTTAGATAGCACTGGGCAAACCTTATAGATTCTCAGAAGAATAAAACAGACATAAAAATTTTTAAAACAGCGTCGAAGTTCGAGTTTAAACAGAGAGATCCATTTCTTGTGTTGTATCTTTTCAGTGATCAGAGGCTACACACTTGATTTTTATGTCTGACTGACACAAAGGAACCAAGATAATGATTTTTCAGCCTTCCTCAGCATATCATCTTTCATTCACTTGTCCGCTACTTGAAGGATGTGATAATGAAAGAACTTCGGCACATGCAGCATACCTCCATTTAGGAATGTATGGCCCTGTTTTCTCCTGCCCCATGTTCCTGCTGTTCTAGCATTTCTCAGAAGGCAGCTGCATGCACATTCCTGCAGGAAAGTCTTGGCTGAGCCACAGGAATGCTCTGAATAGACCAGCTCTCAAACTCCTCCCATTCTCAGGAGAAAACTAGTGCATTAGCTAAGCACAAAGCATCCCTATGCCAGGGACTGTCTTCATATTTTGTGGTCTCAAATGGCAAAGCAATTCAAATATATTGTCATTTTCCTTACCTCCTCTGCTATCACTCTTCCATTTGGTCTAGCATTATCTGAAACACTCTCCTATCCTTTTCTGAACTTGCTCATTAGCTTTTGAGGGCAGTGAATGCCTAAGTATATACAAGGAAGCAGTTTGATCTTGAGGAATGTGTATAGGCGTGAAGTCAAGAATCCCATGTTCTAATTCTGTCTCTGCCACCAATTCAATGTGTGCTCCCAAGTAACCCATTTTGCATAAGTTTTCCTATTCTCCTTTTACAACTGAAGAAAGTAATTCCAATTAAGTGTCTTAAGAGGTTCAGCTCCTGGATCATATAGAAGCTTTTTGAAAAAGCTCACTTTTATGTCATATCTTCGCACAAAAAGTAATTACTCTCTTTTTTCCATACAATTTGTCTCGACAAGTCTGTGACAATAAACATGTGTGAAGCGCTTTGCGTGTGTAAAACGCTAAGCGTTATGACTGGTTATATCAAATTTGACATTGAGGTCCAGCAAATAAATGCTGCAAATATTTTCCTTTCAATGTATAACAGATTTAAGCCGTAAAATTTCAGGCCATTTTCTACCTCAGATATGCGTGCAGTGCTCTTTTTAATATCACTACAAGTTATATACACACCCAAGGACTTACTTAAGCTCTTTGGATCCCTCCAAGCTGCTCTGAAGGGATATTATTTTCATGTATTTCTATACAACATGCAGTGCTAGGACCCTTAACTCCAAACTGTATCTCAAACTTTGTTATTTTACATCTAGATTCTTAGTTGGAGTATGTGATGTGCAAAGGGAAAAGAAGAACAACAACAAAAAAACCAACCCTCTCCTTAAGTTCTTACCTGGGTGTCCTGTCATTAAATTCAAGCAGATATTATCAACTTGACTACTACATCTGGTTCTAATGTATGGAGATGAAAGAAACTTTGGCTCTATTCTACAGCTTGCTTGGCCAGATCAGCTGAACAAACAGAGAGAGAAATTTATTCATCTACTGCTGGTCTATACAACCATGTGTTACTGCACAAGATCTACAGAATGAGAAGGGTCTGTCATCTGTAACATCTTCATAGACAACCTCAAAGAGGGCAGTTGCATTTAACGTACCTTCCACAACAGTAATGCCTGAATGCAACTTACAGACCCTGCATAGTCTTTTATAAAAAGAAGAGCCTATCACTGATTTTAAACAAAGCTGCTTTTATTTAGTGGAATTATCTTTCAGAGCACACGCTTCCCTGCTGAATAGGTGGGGAATTCAAGGTCCCAGGACTGTGAAGCTCAGCTCCTCACATACCTAGTACTTACATTGATAATAGCATCTGTCTGAATGTAATCCATATCTGAGTCCCGCAGGCCAAGTTCTTTGCCATCTCGCTGAGCAGTGCTGACAATACCTGTTGTCACCGTGTTCTGCAAGGCAAATGGACTTCCAATCGCCACCACAAATTCTCCTGGCCTCAGATCAGCAGAGTGTCCCAGTAACAATACTGGTAGTTTTTTCTTAAATAAACACAGAAAGAAAGAAATAATCATTAGTTTATAACTGAAAATAACGCCATTGGAAAGATCAAAAACTAGCAGGAAGTTAGGAACATACACTTTCCATTACATTAATGAAAAAGCCACCCACTATCATATACCCAAAACTTACAGTAGGTAAAATTGGTATACTGCAGGGTGTTACCGCTTTAAATTGTCTTCAGAAACAAACTGCTAGCAGCAGTACCTTTCAATTTCATCCAGAAGAAAAAGCCATCAAGATTCTGAAACAGATTTCCCCATTTTCCAGCAGATTGTTCCCTCTTCCGCCTCGAAATAGCGTACAAACCAGCTATTGACCCGCCTGCCACTCTCCCTACACTATGTACCACCTTGCAGCCCATGTATTGGTACAAAGCTAGAAGAATTACCCAAAATAGCCTGGGTCTTTGGGTAAAGATAGCAGAATCTGGCTACATATTAACTGAGCTGCATTTTTTTTCTTCTTTGTTAACAGTTCCTAGCACAGAAGACAAAGTAATTTAACCCTAAGAAATGAAAAATTTCCAGGCCTACAGAAAGTTTGTTCAGTACGTTGTTTTCCCCAGATACATTTCCAAGGAATCCCTAAACATATATTCCAGCCAATCACTCTGTGCTAAATGAAACTGAAATAGGGTTCCCAAATTAATTCATTCATCTGTTTATGCCACTCACCTTAGGGTGAATCTTTATTGTTGCAATGTCAGATTTCTTGTCAATGTCTTTGATGGTTGCTTCATAGGTATCTCCATTCTGTAGCTGCACTTTCAACTGTTGTCTCCCTGATATAGCATTGGTGCTTGACACCACGTGGGCATTGGTCACAATTAAACCAGAATCAGACATAATAAACCCAGATCCACTGGAAAGTGGGACATTTCGACCAAAGAGAGGGTGCCTGTACAAAAAGCAAGTAATTATAACTCATAAGGGAAGCATAACTTAGAGAAGATTACATTAGAAATCATTTAACACCTTTCACCCTGAGAAATAACAAAGCATTTGATGACCAATGTTACAACCCTTACAAAAATTAAATTAAAAAATTTACAAAGAAAGGATTCTTTTCTGAAAATTGTGACTGCTTTTAGTCAGTCATGGAGATAGGAACTGAGGTTTTCAGACAACCCACAGGGTCCTTTTCCTTTGGTTTCCAATTCTGTCTTTATAGGCTTCCTTGCAAAGAGGCTAGGTGACAAAAAGGGAAGGAGGAGGAGCCCATCTGATTCCACTGGTTGCTGCTTCTATATGGGAAGAAAATGACAGGAAATAGTAGGGCTGACAAATGGACTGATCCTCTAATGGGAAAAAGGGAAGAAGAAGGAACCTTGCAGCTGGACAGAGGAGTAAAGGAAGAGGTGACGTCTCAAGGAATCATGAAGCCCAAGTGTAGACTGGCAGGAAAAAGCATGTGTGGAAACTGAAAGGACTGGGAAAGTGAAAGAAAAGAAATGAAAAACACTAACAGTGGGTAAAACTTGGTAGGAAACAACATTTGCTGCAATACAGACAGTTAAAAGACTTTATAAACTGTTTAAAGTATTATGACTTTTCTCTATGAACAATTGCTGTAATGACCTTAGATTTGTTAGGGGAACAGAAAGTGCCTGGGCAGTAGAAGATGAGAAAAGGTCCACAAATTCTTATTTCTTTCAAGATGTGGTCCCTATTAGGAAATTGCTTAAAAGTTTTGGGCTATTCAGCAGTAAAGAATTGGAGCCAATCCCAGACAGAAGGTAGTATCACAATTAGTGCCCAGCAGGCTGCTAGACAAACATTTACTTTTCGGGAAAGAACAAACAATCTTAACTACATATGCAAAGATCTTAAACATCTTCAACTGTAACGTTCTTGAAAAAGACCAATCACCATGTGCATAAAGCTATGTTTCAGAAAACCTGATTATCTTGATTTTGCATATTAAGAAAGCCTATAAAAATTCTCCAAGAAATTCTTAAGCCTATGCAAAATTAAAGTACCCCAAGCAGAAAGGTATTCAGGTAATGGAGTACATATAATATTTGCAGTAATTTGTTCTGACAGCAGGTTGGTTTGAGCACTCAATGTTAAACCTGCCTCCCAGGTTGTTTTGAGCACTCAATGTTAAACTTGTCTCCTCAGCTCCAGCTTCAGTTCACCGAATATTGGTTTGTTTTGGTCAGCACATTTAGTACATTTTTTCCTATCAGAAATCACTTTTGTGTTTAGATAGTTACACCTTGTCAACATCTTACCTCTTAATGTTCTCCCTGCCAAAATAAAATCAACTCTTATTGAACGTGGAATAAGCAACAAGAAGCTATGTTTTTCCAGCTTACCTTCTGGATTTGTTTTTTTTAAACTGAGACAATAAACATAATCCAACAAGCAACACATTTTACTGAAGGCTAAAGTGACCTCCAAAGATGAGGTAGACTTATTTTATGGCAAACAATATGTATTGTAAAGTACTGTAAAGACTCTAAGCCCAATAAAATAGATCTACGAATCAGGAACAAAACACACAAATGGGTGGTTCTCTGGACAAGTGAGACTGCTCTAATGTTTCAGAGTATGTTGTCAGCTTCAAGAACTCAAAATGAAAGTAAGTACACTAAAAAATCTTCGTTGACCTTTGTTAAACAATGCAATTAAAACACAAAGAATTAAAAGTGTTACCTGAGGAAAAGTTCAATGTGCACAACTGCAGGTGCAATCTTTTCCACCACATCTGCTATGAAGTTGAATTTGTATCGTGGGCTGCTGGACTGTAGGTGACCTATACTAGCAGAAAGAATTGGATATGTTAATAAGACAATACCCTTTTTTACCAAGTAGGTGAGATAAATATACTTCCAATTGGTCTGTTTCTCCTATTGGGATAGTTTCCAAACAGGTATTGGAAAAGGAATCAAAGTCATTTGTTCAAAACTTACCCAGCATTTTGCTTCCTTCTAAGAAAATAAAACATCAGCATCACTTGGCTACAAATTATTTGACTTTCTTAGAAGTCTACAAGCCTTGTCTGGAGTATTTTTCTCAGGACAATTACTAATTCTTATCCAAAACACAAAGGGTCATAGGATAAGTCAGGTTGGAAGGGATCTCAGGAGGTCTCTAGTTCAACCTCCTGCTCAAAGCTGAGTCGGCTACAAAGGCAGACCAGGTTGCTCAAAGGCTCTGTCCAGTTGGGGCTTGCAAACCTCCAGGGATGGAGACTCCAGAACCTCTCTGGGCAACTTGTCCCACTGCTTCACTGTCCTCCATGAGGTAAAAGTTTTTCTTATATCTAGTCTGAACCTCTCTTGTTGAGACTCATGTTTCAGTTCATGCCCATTGTCCCTCATCCTCCCGCTATGCACCACTGTAAAGAGCCTGGCTCCATCCTCCTGATAACTTCCTCATGAGTACAGGAAGGCTGCTGTTAGGTCCTCCTGAAGCTCTCTCTTCTCCAGGCTGAGCAACCCCAGTTTCCTCAGCTTCTTCTCACAGAAGATACGTCCAGCCCCTCCCTCCCCATCCTCATGACCCTCTCCTGAACTCACTCCAGTTTGTCAATGCCTTTCTTGTATTGAAGGGTGCAAAACTGAATGCAGTATTCCAGATGTGGTCTAACAAGTGCTGAGTAATATAGCTGCAGCATTTGGGAAACGCATTTAGAACCCAAGTTAGGATTTTTTGAAGTAGACACATTAGAAACCTGCTGTAAATTATAACCTTTGCACCTAAAAAGTTTTGCAAATTCACATTTAAGCTGTCACAAGCAGCTGGGCATAGTGATAGATTACTAAATACTAAGCGTTCTGATAAAAGCCAGTGCAGTACTATGTTAAACAGCACTATACAGAGCATTTATGAATACTGAATATAATTCTGTGGAATGAAGATCTCTGAAGAGAGGGGAAAAAAGCCCACAGCATCCTGGATTCTAACATCACAACATCACAAAGTAATAATACTGCTTGTGCTAGAACGTCATACTTATCTGCAATCCCTAATACATGGGGACAGATCACCACACTCAAACAGCAATCTTTCATCTTCACAGCCTGATGCTTTAAAATTAACTATGGGATCTAGGGAAGGGAGTAAATGAGTTGTAATCAGATACAGCAATAACATTTTTGGCTTTTTTTAAATCTGGTGCGACAGCACACTGTTTATCCCAGGAGATATAATTCTTTTTCTGCTGTTTAGTCAGGAGGGAGAGGCTCTAAGTTCTAATTTCTAAACAATATCAGCTCTTCAGAAGCGATGCTTTGCACCATCACAATTTGCTCTAAGTTCAACTCGTGCTGAAGGATGAACTTACTCCACAGTAGCTCTTGCGTACCAAGTCAACACCTGGTCTTAAGGGTTCTAGATTTGCCTATTTCTAGATCACATAACATAGTAGTGAGTCCAGATACAGATTCTGTCTTTTGAAAGTATATACTTTTCTTTCATCAGCTGCCCTTTACCCAAGTCTTTAAAAGGAAAGTAGGTAGGAGGCATTGCACAAAAAGGAAAGATACACAGAAGAGAGAGAGAAGTTTAAGAGAGTTCTCATGCGTTTTGGTATTCTGTGTAGTTCTTAATTCAAAGATCATTTTCACCAACCCTTATCTACAGGTGTTTTACTGACCATTAAACCGTGTAACTTGTAAATTACTTGGGATGAATATAAAAATTACAGCACAATGGAGTCTAACCTATTTACAAAAAAGATGTCTCACTGATCTATTCTTTGAATGAATTCATAAGATAGTGGGTGACAGAGAACTAGTCGTTATAGTTCCTACAGTCTCTCAGAAAGCTTTCACAATAAACTGTTAAAGGACCTACAGAGTCAGGAAGTGAGAGGCCTTAACATTACCACAGTATTCAAAAGACCTGAAGCAAAGACAGGCACTTATGGAATGGACCCAACACTGGTACCAAGGAAGAAAAGTATTCAAGAAACCAGATCAAGACAATTCAGCATTTCTCCATAGAAGTCTGTGAGTTCTTTTTCCTGTTACTGGACATGGGATTTACTTCTGAGGGGAAAGAAACCATGCTTACATTTAGCAAGCTAAATTTATATGATACGGTATAAACAGAAGGAACAGCTTGGCAGGACTAGATTCGGTCTATTATTTTTATGTACATTTCTCACGCACTCTGAAAAATCCCTCTAACCAATTGAATATGCTTGTTTCAGTACTTAGTTTAAAAGAGACACCGCAAACAGGAATCACGGAGGACAGTCAAATGTAAGCACAATATACTGTTATTTATTTTGCTTACTGGGCCACTGAAGATTTATCTTACCTTCAGTTCACAAGCAGCTTGCCTGGTTATGTAGTATATCCTTTGAAGTCTACTAACATGACTTTGAATGCTTGCACACACAGGAGTGTTCACTGACAGGATATAACATTATCATCACATTTATCTTAATAGAAATGACTACGCATCTATGAAAGACAGTTGGCTAGACCCTCAGCTGATGAGCTAGCATAGAATCAGGGGGAAAAAGCATGGTGAATGCAGGCTTTCAGTTGGTGTAAATCAGCATAGCACTACGTGAGTCAGGGCAGCTAAATCCCTTTGCATCGGCTGAGTGGTGAACTCTTCTGCCCATGCCAAATTGTCACAGCATTGCACGTGGCCAAAAGCAGAGGAGGACGCCAGCCAAAGAACTCACCTTTGCATCACTCCTGACTAGCCACCAGGGAAACATCATGCGTGGCAGTGGCTCACCAGGTAAAATATGGGGTAGGCAGACAGAAAAAGTCTGAAAGAGGTAGCGGATGAATGCGAACATGAAAAGAGTCAAAGAAAATAAAATGCAGCAATACAGAGAGGAGACTGTAAAACTGAAGCAAAGCTTGTCTTCTTTCCATACCATAGTGAAAGCATTTCTCAGTCTGAGCAGAAGTCCAGAACCTCTCTGCTGGGGTCGGAAGACAAGAATACTCAAACCTGAAGGTGAATCCAAATCTGCACTATTATTAAGGGGAAATTTGAAACAAAGGAGGATCAAGAATAACAGACATGCAAACTTTTTAAGAAAGGTGTAGCTGAAGATCTAATGGCCTGATTAGAGATGAGCTGTTCTTACTAGTGTCTGGTGGGGACTAAATACTGGTAAAAACTGACTTACAAAGTTGAGATGCCTTCATAGAAACTGATCTCTCTTGAATCATTTTCTGCAAGATGGGAGCGATAAGAACCTTTAAACACATTATATGACATCCCAGGAACTCAAACTGTGGACTTGGAAGATGTAACTGCAAACTAACATGTACTCTCACACATACAGCCCTATTTAAGTGAACTGAAATGTTAGAATGTTAGTTATTATTAATAACATTTTAGTGCACAATTCTTAAACTGTTGGCTTTCATCAGAAGTTCTCAATGTACTTTAAAAGGGAGGAATTGCAGCCTGAGAAACTGAAAAAGGAAGCAACATCCAACATTGTATGAGGTCACCCTGAAAACAAGTGTTATAACTGTAGTAGTAGAATCAGGGCTTTATGTCAGACCTTCAATCTATCCTTTAATTTGCATTAGTTGGTAGACACTAGCTGCTGCTACTGTTCTTACTAAAACAGTATTAAACACATATATTTTTCTTTCTTGTGTGTGTCCCCCCCCCGACACTCTTGCTGTCTTGCAGAGTTTCACACAGCTCTCAGACCTCTGCTGGACTGTGAATGTAAAAGCTCTGAGTTTACAGCAGCTTTGTGCATTTCGACCTATTGACCTACTGAGATTTGCCACATATTTTTTCAAAGGTCTTTCAATAACATCCATTATTTTCCATGTTATTACTGCATGTTCAAAATCATCTCACACTAACCAAAGCTAATTTATCTTGGCAAAAAGCCGTAATTTAATCCAATTAACTATCTGTTGTATAACCAAGATATCAAAGGTGCTGTAACCAGCTTGTACTTGAAGCAAAAACAAATTTATACTGTATGAGTCTTTAGCTGTCTACACATTTCTTAATCAAAAAAACTAGATTTTCCCAATCTGCTCCATAGCCACAAATCAACCAGATTTTCAGCAGATCTGAACTCCCATCCTATCATTTAAATTAAGTGATTAGATCTTCAGAAGCTCTCCAGCTCCTCTCACAGAACACTCAAAATCCAGATTTGGATGTAAGTGCATAAACTGGACTTAAAGATGTTCAGCCTGTTTTGTAAAATTTGATCTTACGTTTCCAGTTCTATGGGCTCCTACTACATTGGATTTACATGGCTAAAGCTAAGTGCCTGTCAAGTAGGAGTATCCTTATTATCAGCTTAAGACTTTTCCTGCATAGCAGTGTTATCTACAGGCTATGAGTTCATTTAATAGTGTTGTATTTACTTTTTTTCAGAGACAATAGACCCACTCCAATCTCATTAACACTGCTGTAAATCAGGAACAACTCCAACAAATTTGTAGAGTTAACCTAGTACGAAGAGAACTGAAAAAAAATTTCAGCAGAAATAAATCGTCATAATCCTACTGAAGACAATGTCAGCTAGACCCACTGACATTTGCAGAAGACTGAAAGTTTCTGAATATCTGCCAGTTTACTCCTTGTAGTATTAAATCAACTCAAATGCAATGCTTTCTTAAAGATAATACATTGTATTAAAAACCACAATTTTTATTCATTAAGAATCTGTGAACCTGGGAAACTCATTCTTTTAAGGCTGTTCCCCCATCCCCCCTTTTTAAACCAGCTTCAGAAAAGATCTGTGTGTTCAGCAAAATTATTATGTCTAAGGGAGGACTGCAACCTGGCAGATCTGATCACCAGGGATAAACACCGTCCCTACAGTGCTTTCATGGAAAGAAATGAAAGACAAATAAAAGATTATAATGTCTCTGCTTAAAAAACAGAAACATCTGCTGGAAACATAGGTTCATGGGCAGCTTTTCTGATGAATTCAGCATTAAGATCAAGTTGCATAGCTGTGCACTGACCATAAAGCCTTCGTGAGTTTAATGCCACATTATGGTTCAGGCAACTTGTTTATACAATGGATGTCTACCGTGCACAGATGAAAACAATTTGATGAACCAACACCAAAGTGGCTTTCTCGTGCAGTGCAGCAATTGCAACGGCCATACAGAGACAGATTGGCACAAGCCTTCCAGCACAGACACCTCACCGCCCCACTGACTTCAGATGCTAGTTATTCCTCCTTCCCAAGTGAGTCTCATAAGGAGATGCAATGAGAACATCTCTTTCCTGTTAGCTATCCTATACAAAGCAGTGAAGTACTATACTCTGAATATTTACCAAACACTGTACAGTATTCATCCTCACCTGCAGGAACTCAAAACAAACTCAGACATAAGGAAAACAATCAGTAAAGGAACGTGACTAGAGTTTGCACTTCCAGCCAATACCTTGCAGTGCATTTCCCTAAATAAAGCTGGAGGCAGCCATAAGGCTTTGATGACAATAATACCAGTAGGAGACTTCAGTATCTCTTACTGGGCCAATTTCTCAGAAATGCAAGTAATGATATGCTCAGTTGTTCCTCTGTATCTTCAAGGCTATGTACAGGCACACTCCAAACACCCCACATAGAACTGTGTGCAACGACTCTGCTCATGCATTAACCGTATTTCAAATATTTCTTTTAGGAAACTGAACTTTTAGGCTCATATCTTGCAAAGATTTGACTGACATGGGTGAGGCTTTACATCATGACCACTTTCTGAGAGTGACTTCAGTTAAACAATGCAGAAGACAGACATTCTCAGGCAGAACCCTGCAAAGGATCAGTGTCAAAGCCAATGTACTTGTTTTCTGGAACTTCTTTCCTCAGAGGTTTCCTAATCAATCTTTTAGTTTTCCTTGTTGCACTGACAAAATAGCACACTTACTTTTCAAAAAAAAAATTTTTTTGCTTCCATATCCTAGGTGAGAAAATACAAAACTTTTGCCATCTGAACTGTCTTCACAGAAGCCGTTAGCAAAATAACGTTGCAGGGAATTATTAACCGTACTAAGAAAGTTGTACTGAGAGATCATAAACAGCCCTTTGTGCAAGAAAGAGTCTGACATAAATTGGCCACAGATTGCAGGTGACCTTGTGAATCCTTTGAGTGAGGAGTTTGACACTTTAGTAGATCGATGTGTGGCATTGTTAAAACTTAAATTTGCTGCAGCGAGAAAGAGGGCTCTGTGAGAACCGAGCCTTTGATTACAGAGGTTGTCTTCCACAAATGTTTATGCCATTACTTACACACTAGCCTGTAATAGCTTGTCTTTCTCACAGTAGGTGACAGAAGGCAGGAAAAAGCTAGCTGCTTCAGAAAATTCCCATATATTAAGGTATCTAGTGTTGAAGAGGGAAAAAAAATATTTGTAGCATGTAGTTTAAATTTGCCTAGGAGTTCTGCAGACTGTTCCTATTAGTATCTCAGAGAAGTCCATGGGTCTGTTCAGATGCATAAGGCTAACTGTACGAGTAATAGTTTCCAGGGCACAGACATACTGAAGAACACCAATGATAGAGTTCCTGTATCTCCATGCAGTACACACCCCCTTTACTATACTGTATCTAAAACTTGCCATTTGGCACGGTGTTCTTCAAGCTAATCCAGACCTTCAACAAGGAAAAAAATATTTTAAATTCTGTCACATTTGGAATTATCACCTGGGCACCTCTTTCCTCCCTTCCTTTCTGCATCCTTTACTATCCTTTACTACTCCTTTTTCATGAATCCTTATTCACCAGACTTCTGTCGCTAGGAAACCACAGCTAAGTTTTCTCAGCCTATCTTGGTTTATCACAGTCAGAATCTAACTTAGCATCAACATAAGCAATTGGAAATGGACAGGAGTAGATATTTCAAAAGCTGCATGTTCTGAAAATGGCCTAAGTCACGCTATGTAAGGCTACCGCTATCTGAGATTGTTTTAATACATGTATGGTTAAGTAAACTGGATTTACTTTGTAACTAGCTTAGCCCTTCAAACTCTGAGTCATCTGAGGCCAGATTTCTTTCAAGAACAGGGAAAAGAGAGAAACTTGACAGTAATTTTAAACTGTCGACTTTCTTCTAAACCTCTCATTACAGCCATTGCATGTTATTGTTTAAAAAAAAAAATACCATAATTGAGTTCTATTCCTGGCTCAACCACCAACTCAGTCTGACCTTGGGCAAGACACTTGGTTTCTTTGAGCTTCAGTTTGTGCAGCTGTAGAATTGAATAAAAAAATTAAAACTTAACAGAGAACCAGATGCTTCATCTAAGCTGAGGTTTTCTGGGACAAAAAATAAAGCCAAAATAAAGTGAGCACTAAAATAGTTGCTTGAAAACAAAAAATGTTACCTCTACCTCACAGCTCCAAATTTCTAAGCTAATTAACAGTAGATTCAGGAGGAATCCTTAAAGAAAATGTCATATATACCAAACCCCAAGCACTCAGTAAGCCCTTAGATGCAGGCCAGCTCACTCATTTTGGTTAAACATTCTGATTGTTTCACGTGGATCAGTTCCAACCAAGTGTTAGGAGTACTAAAGCTAATGGATGCTGATGTGAAAAGGAACAGGCAAACAGCAATTTAAAACTACAAAATACTGGAGAGACTGACCATTGCAGCTCCAAGCAGGCATCTGGAGCAATTCTTGGCTCTGACAAGATAGTCCTAAAGTAACTCCAGGAATGTCATTTAACCTCCTCTCTCTCTGTGCCACTGTCACCTTCTCTCAAGAGCGGGATATATGAAAGGTCGCCTATTCACGGAAAGGCTACAACAGTAGCCCTTTTCCCCCTGACTCCTCCCAACAATTTTGGCAAGTTTGCTATCTATGAATACACAGGATGGTTAGTGGTCCACCTGACATACTGGAAACACTGGTGCATGATTTAAAACTCCATTATGCATGAGACTTTTCTTCCAGGAACACTATGAGAAAGGTAGCAGAAGCAAACCCTTAAAATAATGTAAGTATATGAAAAGATATTAGCAGCATTAACACTTCCATAAAGTGACCCATTTTAATACTAAAAAAAAATTACCAACATTAAGTGATTACTAAGCTTTCTGAAGTTAAACCATCAAGCCTGAAGTTACCATAGCATATCACAGTATCCGAGGTCAAGCAAAGGCCTTAGTACGTTACTGCAAACAGAAGACAATTTGATATCCTGAGTGTCAGTATTTTAAACTGTAAAGGAGATTTGCAGGCATTTTTTCCCACTTTAGACTATACAAGACTACAAAACTTCTTATAAAAAGAAAACAAAACATGCAAAAGACTATGTTTTAGGTGTTTTATATGCTACTTGGTGCTTTTTCTGCCCTGTTTGAGCTACATGGCCTTAAGGGACATTTTCTGCCTAGAGATACCTGTCAAGTAAACCCAATTAACCTCCCATACACCACCAGGGAAGGCTCCAGAGCACAAGCGTCCCCGGGTCTCCACTCTGCTTGTGCAGGCCATGGTGCAATGGATCTGCAGTGCAACCTGCATGGGTGATGCCACCGAAATGCCTCAGCAGTGAATGCCAACATTATGAAAAGAACACAGCGTTGGCAGGACAAGAGCAAGCTTGTACCACTGCCCCGCCAGCGCGCCCTGCCTTGAGAAGGGGCGATGGCTGAGGATGCAACTGGTGCCCTGCCCTGACAGCCTAACGCCCTCCACCATGCTTGCTTCCATGCTGTCACGTGCGTTCGCCTCCTGCTCACGGGAGCGCTGTGGCAGCGGCATGCACACCGAGGCGTCCGCGGCCATGCTACCGAGAGGAAACCCTCCCAAACCTCAGCCCAGGCTTCTAGCCCACACAGATCAATGAGGGGAATTTCTGCCGTTCAGAAAGGACCTGAGCACACCTTCCCCGTGCCACAATGATCGCTGGCAGCGGGGCGAGGTGCCTTGACACTGTAGCCTCTTACACTCCCTGGAGCCACCCAGCCTTCCCAGGTCACCGAAAATCACAACTCTTCTTAGCCTGGAAACCAGCACACCCCGCGCCACCCACCCGCCACCCTCTGCCCCAGGAGGCCGTCACCCCACAGGCAGGCCCCGCCATGCTCCTACCCGATTCACAGGCTCCCTTCTGGACCTGGGCGACGGCGGGCAGGCCGTGCTGCAGCGCCTTGCGGCTCACCGCCTTCAGCTGGCAGATGTTGTCGTAGGTCCGGCCGTCGCTGCCGCACACCTGGGCGCTGAGCTTGCACTGGCAGACCCCCTTGGCGAAGCGCTTGCCCATGGGGTAGCGGCAGTCGAGGCTGTCCCCGCAGGGCGGGTCCTCCTTGCG